AACTCGGTAGCATTTTTATACACTAAAAAAATAAATTACCAACAATCAACCTTACAATAGCAACAAAAACAACAACATAGGAATAATCAGGAACTGAAAGACTTATCAATGAAAATTATAAGCCATTGAAAAAATAAGTTGAAAAACACACACACACACACACACACACACACAAACAAAAAGAGATCCCATGTCCAGGGATTTAAAGAATAATACTGTTTAAATGACCAGACTATCCAAAGCAATCTACAGATAGAATGCAATACTTACCAAAATCTGAACTGCATTTTTCACAGATATAGAAAAACTAATACTAAAATTCATATAGAATCATAAAGGATTCCAAATAGCCAAAATAGTCATGATCAAGAACAAAGTTGAAATCATTGCCTGATTTAAAGTTCTATTACAAAGTTCAGTAAACAAGACAGTTTCACACAAGCATAAAAAGAAACAAAGGGAACAGAATAAAGCTAGAAATAAACCTACAGTGCACTAATTTTTGACAAAAGTGCTAATAATATACAAAGGGGGGGGGACCAGCAGATGGCATAATGGTTACATCACTGGACTCCCACCAAGTGGACTTCTGTTCAAGTCCTGGACTTGGCATCTTAAAACTCACCCTGGGCACGTGCGTGTGCATGCCCAAAATTCCAAGAGAATAAGGGAAGAGAAGGGACTGCAGTGAGGCTATTCCCCCCCAGGAGGTGATTTCTTGCTTTTTGTCTGTCTGTCTCTCTCTCTCTCTTATGAGCACATGTGCCCTATAGCGCAAACCTCTCCTAAAAAATTTTGCTTTAAAAGAATATACAAAAGGAATAGAACAGTCTATTCAAAAAATAATGAAAAAGCAGACAAATTGTACTTCATGAAAATTTTAAAAAATTGTTTATGAAAAGCAATTACTGTTGTTGGGAATATTAAATGGTAGAACTTGTATGAAAAACAGTATAGTAGTTGCTAAAAAATTAAAAATAGAATTATCATACGATCCAACAATTCCACTTCTGGGTATATACTCAGAAAAATTGAAATCAAGGTCTCAATGAGAGATTTATACATCTATGTTTACAGCAGTAATTCACAATAGTTAAAAGACGGAAGAAACCCAAGTGTCCATTGACAGAGGAACATATATATCAAAATGAATATTATTCAACTCTCAAAAAGAAGGAAATCTTTTTTTTTCTTTTTTTTTTAGAGAGAGTGCACTCCCCAGTGGAAAATCTGGTTCTCTCTCTCTCTTTTTCTTTTTTTTGGAGAGGTTTTCACTATAGGGCACATGCGCTTACCAGAAAGACAGAGAGAGACAGACAGACAGAAAGCGAGAAATCATTGCCCAGGGGGGATGGCAATGCTGCAATCCCTTCTCCTCCATTCTCTTCTTGGGATCTTGGACACATATGCACATGTGCCCAGCGTGAGTTTAAGCCACTGGGTCCAGGACTCGAACTGCAGTCAACTACATGGGAATCCAGTGACGTAGCCATTATGCCATCTGCTTGTCTCAAATGAAGGAAATCCTAACATAGAAGTATCTTGAGGGCGTTATGTTAAATAAAATAAGTCAGTCACAAATAAATATAAGTACTATTATGATTTCATTTATATGAGATACTTAGAATAGTGAAAATGTCAGATTCAGAAAGTAAAATAGTGGTTTCCATGCACACACACGTGCCCAGGGTGAGTTTTAAGATGACCAGTTCAGGACTTGAACTGAAGTCAACTCGGTGGGAGTCCAGTGACGTAACCATTATGCCATCTGCTGGTCTCCCCCTTTTGTATATTCTTAGCACCTTTGTCAAAATATAAATAAAAATATTAATAATAAAAAGGAATGGACAATTTTAGTGTATGTAACAACTTGGAGAAATCTTCAGAGAATTATGCTGAGTGGAAAAAAAAGTCAATATCCAAAGGTTATGTGTGATTCAATTACATGTATGTAACATTCCTGATGTGGTAAAATTATTAAAACAAAGAGCAAATTAGTGGTTGCTAGGGGTCATGGGTGAGGGTGGGGGAGTTGCAGAGAGATAGTTTGGCTAAACAAGGGCAACATTTGAAATCTTTGTGATGATAGAAATAGTCCATATTTTGACTGTATCAATATAAATATTCTATTTGAGACATTATACCACATTTTTATAAGATGTTACAACTGGATGAAATTGGGTAAAAGAGCACATGAACTTTCTCTGTATCTTCTTACAATTAGATGTAACTCTACAATTATCTCAAAATAAAAGTTTATTTAAAATGTTGGGATAATAGTAAAACAGAATTTGGGGAAATTCATAGTACTACTATAGGCACACACAATGGGTCTTCAAAAAGATGGGACCAGCAGTTAGCGTAATGGCTATGTCGCTGGACTCCCATATAGTCGACCGCGGTTCAAGTCTCGGACCCGGTGACTTAAACTCACGCCAGGCGCATATGCGTGCGTGCCCAAGATTACGAGAGGAGAATGGAGAAGAAGGGATTGCAGCATGGCCATCCTCCCTGGGGGGTGATTTCTCGCTTTCTGTCTCTCTGTCTCTCTCTGTCTTTCTGGCGAGCTCATTCTCCCTCTAGTGAAAACCTCTCCAAAAAAAAAAAAAAAAAAAAGAGAGAGAAAGAAATTTGTATGTACACTAAAGTCTCAGTGGTATCTCTACTCTAGGTTGCCTTATTTAAACCCCATAACCTTTTTATTATTCGGTAGAGGGACTATTAGTATCTTCATTTTATTTATTAGTTTTTGATATAGAGTGTGTGTGCTCACCAGAAAGACAGAAACAGAAAGCGAGAAATCATCCCCCCCGGGGGATGGCCACACCGCAATCCCTTCTCCTCCATTCTTCTCTCAGGATCTTGGGCACACACGCACACGCGCCCAGAGTGAGTTTTAAGCCACTGGGTCTAGGACTCAAACCATGGTCAACTATATGGGAGTCCAGTAACATAGCCATTATGCCAACTGCTGGTCCCAGTATCTTCATTTTAAATTAAAGTCACACACACGTGCCCAGGGTGAGTTTTAAGATGACCAGTTCAGGACTTGAACTGAAGTCAACTCGGTGGGAGTCCAGTGACGTAACCATTATGCCATCTGCTGGTCTCCCCCTTTTGTATATTCTTAGCACCTTTGTCAAAATATAAATAAAAATATTAATAATAAAAAGGAATGGACAATTTTAGTGTATGTAACAACTTGGAGAAATCTTCAGAGAATTATGCTGAGTGGAAAAAAAAGTCAATATCCAAAGGTTATGTGTGATTCAATTACATGTATGTAACATTCCTGATGTGGTAAAATTATTAAAACAAAGAGCAAATTAGTGGTTGCTAGGGGTCATGGGTGAGGGTGGGGGAGTTGCAGAGAGATAGTTTGGCTAAACAAGGGCAACATTTGAAATCTTTGTGATGATAGAAATAGTCCATATTTTGACTGTATCAATATAAATATTCTATTTGAGACATTATACCACATTTTTATAAGATGTTACAACTGGATGAAATTGGGTAAAAGAGCACATGAACTTTCTCTGTATCTTCTTACAATTAGATGTAACTCTACAATTATCTCAAAATAAAAGTTTATTTAAAATGTTGGGATAATAGTAAAACAGAATTTGGGGAAATTCATAGTACTACTATAGGCACACACAATGGGTCTTCAAAAAGATGGGACCAGCAGTTAGCGTAATGGCTATGTCGCTGGACTCCCATATAGTCGACCGCGGTTCAAGTCTCGGACCCGGTGACTTAAACTCACGCCAGGCGCATATGCGTGCGTGCCCAAGATTACGAGAGGAGAATGGAGAAGAAGGGATTGCAGCATGGCCATCCTCCCTGGGGGGTGATTTCTCGCTTTCTGTCTCTCTGTCTCTCTCTGTCTTTCTGGCGAGCTCATTCTCCCTCTAGTGAAAACCTCTCCAAAAAAAAAAAAAAAAAAGTTTAAACTATGTGTGGATTTCAATTTTTTTGCACCACAAAACTTTCAAGTCATATTAGAAAAGAAGAAAGTCTTTAAGTTTATGTCCTAATTCCATCTTAAGAGAGTAAAAGAAAAAAAAATCAAATTAAATCCAAAGTAAGCAAAAGAAAAGAAAGAAAAACAATCAAAACAGAAATCAATAAAATAGAATATATGAAACAATAATGAAAAGCAGTAAAACCAAATGTGATTCTTCATGAAAATCAATATAATGAATAAGCTGCTTGGGACCAGCTGTTGGTGTAATGGCTATGCCGCTGGACTCCCACGTAGTCGATCGCAGTCCAAGTCCCGGACCCAGTGGTCAAACTCGGGCTGGGCACATGTGCGTGCATGCCCAAGATTCTGAGAGGAGAAAGGAGGAGAAGGGATTGCAGCGTGGCCACCCACCCTGGGGAGTGGGGGGCTGATTTCTCGCTTTCTGTCTCTCTGTCTTTCTGGCGAGCACACGTGCCCTATAGCAAAAACCTCTCCAAATAAAAGCTTCTAGACATGGTTGATCAGAAAAAAGGGACACAAATTACCAATTATCAATATTAGGAATTTAAGAGGGGACATCAATATTGACTCAAAGAACATTAAAGGTGCAAGCAATACAGTGCTGCTTCATGATGCCAGAGCCATACAAGAAGGTCCAGGATTTGGATATCAGGTCAACCTGAACATGCAGAGTGTAGCCACAGTGTGCCCATAATCCTAGAAAGTTGGAAAGCTGGAGGAAGGATCACAGTGTGTCAAGACCCTGTTAGGATTCCCTGTCAATGAAAGAGAGAGAAAAAGAGAGGGAAAAAAAGGAGGAGAAGAGGAGGAAGAGGTGGAGGAAAGGCAGGGAGGCAGAGAAAGAAAGAAAGAAAAAATTGCCAATAAATTTGATGATATGGATATTCACAACAGCTATTCACTTCAAGAAATAATAAATTTTATTTGTTCATAAATATTCCACTTACCTGGATGTTTAAAGAAATGTAGATGGCATTAATGTAGAAAACAAAGAATCAAAAATTAAGGATACATTCGTATAGCACCTGTTCTTGTTCCAATAGCCAAGATTTTCTGAACTGGATCAAAGGCTAATGCTGTAGGCTGATAAGGAAAACCATGCCGAACTGTCTGAAAGAGAGTAAATAGTACAAATAGCCGTCAGTAAAATAAAAATTAAAATCACAAGAAGAAACCATTATACAACGACCAAAATGACTAAAATTGTTTTTTAAAGGAAAAATAGCCATCAAATGTTGATAAAGATATAGAATAACACACAATGATACAGCCATTGTGGAAAATGTCTTACAATTTCTTATAAAACTAACAACTTATGTGTCCTATGACTTTGCAAGTCCATTCTATGTATATATCCAGGAAAATTAAAAGCATAGATCAGAAACAACTTATGTAAGTATGTCCTTAGCAACTTTAATCATGATAGTGAAAACCTGGAAACAGCTCAGAAGTCCATCAACAAGAGAATCAAAAAACAAAATGCAGTGTAATTATACAATGGAATACTCCTCAACAATTAAAAGATACAAACCAGGGACCAGTAGTTAGCGTAATGGCCATATCGCTGAACTCCCATGTGGTCGACTGCGGTTCGGGTCCCGGACGCGGTGGCTTAAACCCACACTTTGTGCCCAAGATCTCGAGAGGAGAATGGAGGAGAAGGGATTGCCGCATGGCCATCCCCCTTGGGAGGGTAATTTCTCGCTTTCTGTCTCTCTGTCTCTCTCTCTGTCTTTCCGGTGAGCACATGTCCCTTATAGCAAAAACCTCTCAAAAGAAAAAAAAGATACAAACCAGTGATAGATGCAAAAATATGGATGATTCTCAAAAACATTATGCTGCATAGAAGCTACACACAAAAAAGAGGTTATGCCATAGTATAAAATTTATATTAAATTCTAAATAAGTAAAACTAAGCTATGATGAAAAAAATAGAGCAGTGGTTGCCCTGAAGAGGAATGAGGTAGGAAGAAACTTTACTGAATAAAGATAATATTTAAATTTTGATAAAGAAATTAGGTTATACAAGTATATACATTAGACAAAACTCAAATAGTATGATAAAACTTACTATTTAGCTGTATGCAAATTATAACGCAAAAAAGTTATTTTTATTATGATTTTAATTGATATATAACGGCACATGTTTATGGAGTACAATGTGATTTTTTAATACATGAATACAATGTGTAATGATCAAATCATGTCAATAAACATATCCACCATTTCAACAATTATTACTTCGGATTATAAACCTTGAAATCTTGTCTAGCTATTTTGAAATATACATTTAATTGTAACCAACTGTAGTAACTGTACCAAAAAAAGTTTAAGAAATATTATAAGCAAATACTGAACTTTAGTTAATATTATGCATACTGAAGTTTTAAGGGATAACATTTGCTGACACTGGCAATTTGAAAATGCATCAAAAGGTAACATACATAGATGGATGGACAGATGTATACAGAAACATATGACAAAATGAATATAGCAAAATGATAATTGTCAAATCTAAGTGGGGATAATATACATATGAGTGCTCACAATATAATTCTTTAAACTCTTCTGAATATTCAAAGTTTTATTAAAATATAATGGAAAAACAAAAGAAAAAGAAAAATATAGAGTTCATAATCTCATTAAGAGGGAATGACAAACATGTGAAAAGGAATATACAATATTAGAATTAACTTCAATATGGCATATGGTATAATTTTCAAAGAACTAGAGGACCTAAACAAGTTTAAAAAAATAAATAAGAAACAAGAAATTCTGTATTTAGTTGTGTTTACTGTTTCAAGAACTATTTTGTAATGGAACTATTTTAATAATAAACTATTGCATTTGTAAATATTCAAAGTCAACAGATAAAAAGATAAGTATACCATTCATCTAAAATTCTAATCCCCCTGAAAGAAAATTCTGAAAAGTTCATTTCTTAACTTCATTTTTTAAAGCATATGTTAACATATATGCATATACATATTACCTAATATAAACCCAGATCTATAATCTGTCTTCCAGTCAACCATATATAATAGAAATACTTATGTGAAAATACATGTAGATGTACTTCAACTACCTAAAGGTAGCATAGCTTATTATAGTATAAATGTATCATGATGTTCTTAACTAACCAATTTATAATCGCAAAAGAATTCTCAACTAAAACAGGACTGGGAAAGACAGTCTCATGCACAATTTACCAACACCTAGTTGGCCACATAAAAATGGACCTTGGGTCTGGCACACTTCCTTATCAAGAAATAGTGAACCAACCCATAAGGCTTATGCTGGGCTGATTGCCTTCTGTGGGAATTTCTCTAAGTCCCCTATCTGGTCCTTTGTTCTGCTTAAGTGTATGCATGCAAGTCACCTCTCCTTACCCACTGCTATATCTGTCCTGTATAAGAGGATACGGGGTCCTTCTACTATGGTGTGACTAGGTTGTGAACAGCCAAATGCCTTTTGTCAGCTGCCAGGAGAGACCTGCTGGCCATGAAGGACCAATGCACACTGTTAAGCTGATCTCATCCATCTCTTCTCTGTGTAAATAAAGAATTGCTCTAACCAGTGCTTGACTGCATTGTATTTTCATTTGCAGCTTTGATACCAAGATACAATGAGCAAAACTGTTTGTACTTTTATTCCCAATAGTTGATATAGGAATGATCTTTGCTAAGCTTCATATAGTAGGAGTCCTTCCTTGGGACTGATAACCAATACAGTTTTCTGCTCCTTTGGGATAGATAAACAGCCTATGGTATTCTGCTTAACAATTGATAAAAATACTGTTTTATCCAGAAAAGTCATTTTCTAGTCATGGCTCTTAACTATAGTGTTCACCTCTTGATTCTGACATACTGTCTTCTTCATTTAGAGTTAGTAACATAAAATCTCAGAGATTCATACTCTTCTGCAGAGCAATATGAATTGCATAAGTCAGAATATAGTTCCTCTTCAGAAAAAAAGAAAAAATGTGAGAACACGTCCCAACTCATTCTATGAGGTCAGCATTATCCTGATAACAAAACCAGACAAGGACATCCTGACAAAAGAAAGCTAAATACCAGTAATTCATATTAATGTATAAGGAGACTTTAAAAAGTTTGTGGAAAATGGAATTAAAAGAACAGTTTACTCTGGTGGGGAAATCCCTAGAAATCTATACATAGTTTTTTCAGAAATTAATGCTGGAGCCAGCAAATAGCGTAGTGGTTATGTCATTGGACTCCTACAAGGTGTACTGTGGTTCAAATTCCTGACCCAGTGGCTTGAAAATCACACTGGACACATGTGCACGTGTGCCCAAGATCCCAGGAAGAGAATGGAGAAGGTATTATGGGGTGGCCATTCCTCCTGGGGGATGATTTCTCACTTTCCTTCCTACTTTCTGTCTGTCTCTGGTAAGCACATGAGCCCTATGGCAAAAGCCTCTAAGGAAAAAAAAAATACTTAACAAAATATTATGAAACTGATTTTAACATATGAAAAAGATATACACCATGATTTGGTGGAATTTATCCCAGAAATGAAAGGTTGATTTAACTTCAAAAAATTATGTAATGTAATGTCGATAAAGGACAAAAATAACTTGATCATCTCAATAGCTGCAGAAAAGGCATTCATAAAATTGAACGCCCTTTCTCATGTTAAAAAGCACTCAACAAATGAAACTATAGGGAACTTCCTCACTCTGACGCATGTACAAAAACCCTACAGCTAATATGATACTAAACAGTGAAAGAATATTTTCCTTCTAATTCAGGAAGGGTGAAAGTTACTAAATTTATAAAAAATCAGTTGTGAGATCTGTCAAAGCTACTAGAGCTATTCGGTAACCAGCAGTTAGCGTAATGGCTATGTCACTGGACTCCCACGTAGTCGACCGTGGTTTGTGTCCCGGACCCGGTGACTTAAAACTCACGCCAGGCGCGTGTGCGTGCGTGCCCAAGATCCCGAGAGGAGAATGGAGGAGAAAGGATTGCAGCGTGACCATCCCCCCTGGGGGGTGATTTCTCGCTTTCTGTCTCTCTGTCTCTCTCTGTCTGTCTGGCGATCGCACATGCCCTATAGAGCAAAAAACCTCTCAAAAAAAAAAAGCTCCTGGAGCTCCTGATGACCAAGTACAGGATAGTTTTCCACTGTAGCTCATTTATAATGAATAGTTTCACCTGACTCCAAATTTCTACTTCACATCACATTTAACAGCTTTCTTTAAGTGAATCTGTCTGAAACATAACAGTTAGATCCAGTTCTTGTAAGAACAACACCTGACAGTTAGTTAGAAACTATATGAAAAGTATGAAAGAAAAAAAAAAAGGAATTGTTTGGGGCTGGCAGGTGGCATGGTAATTAAAGTGCTGGACTCCCAAATGTTCAACTGTGGTTCAAGTCCTGAATCTGGTGTTTTACTTTCTCACTTTCTCTCTCTCTCTCTGGGTAAATTAAAATAATAATAATAATAAATACAAAATAGAAATAATTCTTTAAAAAAAAGAATTGTCCTCATAATCATTCTTTGGCCAATGAAGGATATTGTTTATTCATAAGGTCAGAGAATACTTATTATATTTTTATGATCAAGCACTCTATTAACACCAAGTGAAGAAAGATGAATTTTATTTTTCAAATTTATAGAAACCTTGAGTTGGGCTGACCCTAAAGCCTAGTGGTTAAGTGTACAGTGCATCAGGAACCAGGTCCTACGTAGTTGACCAAGGTTTTAACCTTGGCCCCAGTGGCTTGGAAAAAAAAAAGCATGCACATGTGTATGTGTGCCCAAAACTGATGGGATAGAGAAAGAGAGGAAAAAGGACTACAGTGTGTCCACACCTCTTGGGAGAAGGTGTGTTTTTTGTTTTTCTTTTGTTTTGTTTTTTTGTTTTTTTTTTTGTGTGTGTATGTCTGTTTTTCTAGGGAGTACACACACACTCTTACAATAAAATAATTAAAGTAAAAGAAAACTTGAGTTGATGTCGTTGATTCAACATGAAGATAAATTTCTTGATGCATATGGCAAAATCCAGATAAATTCAGTGCTTTGCTATATTACTACATTAAAAGACTTTACACAATGATTTCAAATAAAAATGTGATAAAAAAAT